ATTTTAAGTCCAAAACTTTAATTTGTATAATTTTCATCATTGACTTTTAAAAATTATTTCAGAACTTCAGTTTTCTCTATTTATACCACAATCAAAGAACGTTAGAGACAGTAAGCAATATATTAAAAAGTTAAACAATGATAAAATAGTAGTGTATCTGAATCTTTTATTAAAGTTCATTATTGTAAATGTGATGATCTAACGTTTGGTGGTCAAAGTGAAATTTAATGTAGAGCTAAGGCTTTGTTTGATTTGCAAGATTTTCAAGGGAAGTTAAGAAAATATTTTCAACCTTCCAAGATTTTACCTGTTTGACGTGCCAAATTGGGCATGGAAGTCTTTTTCCAGCCCGACACTGATGTAGTTCGAAACTACAAACCAAACAATAATAAAGTGAAAACAGCTTGCTCTCTAAGAAAACTCACGACTTTTCTTATATTTTGAACCACCAAAAACCTATAAACGTTTGGAGAGCNAGCTTATTGTATTTAAAACAATCTAATAATGAAGTGTCACGTGGCATCATGTCAATTATTATGTCGAATTTTCTATTCATGTAGCATGATTATTTTGAAATAGTGATTTTTTAAAGAACGCGTGGTTAGAAATAAGATTTTTTTTTTAATTTATGAGTAATATTATTTTATGGAATAATGTGCGGTTAAAAATGAATTTTTAAAAAAAATGAATTTTGAAAATAATAAAACCAAACATAGGCTAAATTTTATTTTAAGTCCAAAACTTTAATTTGTATAATTTTCATCATTGACTTTTAAAAATTATTTCAGAACTTCAGTTTTCTCTATTTATACCACAATCAAAGAACGTTAGAGACAGTAAGCAATATATTAAAAAGTTAAACAATGATAAAATAGTAGTGTATCTGAATCTTTTATTAAAGTTCATTATTGTAAATGTGATGATCTAACGTTTGGTGGTCAAAGTGAAATTTAATGTAGAGCTAAGGCTTTGTTTGATTTGCAAGATTTTCAAGGGAAGTTAAGAAAATATTTTCAACCTTCCAAGATTTTACCTGTTTGACGTGCCAAATTGGGCATGGAAGTCTTTTTCCAGCCCGACACTGATGTAGTTCGAAACTACAAACCAAACAATAATAAAGTGAAAATGGATTGCTCGCTAAGAAAACTCACTCCTTTTTCTTATTTCTTGAATAACCAAAAAATCTACAAACGTTTGGAGAGCTTTAAATATGAAAGAAAACAGTTAACCTACTAGGCCAACAGTCCGTAAATGGACTGGGCTACAAAGCAAAACAAATAAATATTAAAATTAACGAACTACGAAACTTGAAATGCTGTTTTGACTGGGAAGAGATGTCAAACGATCAAAATCCATCATATGTCATGTCAAAGCAGTGAGTTCAGTCTGAATCGTCGCGAGCTTTCCGAAATAGGGTTATGGGCCCAAAACAGATACCGCATGCAAAAGTTATGCTATTTTCTTTTAATGCTGACAATCCAAGCGCTCCTAATATGCAATCGCCTGTTCCTTCACATTAGCCTCATCATTTTCCCTGAGATTAATGGGATTCGCCCTCGAATCAGAACTGGTAGCACCGTCCTCTATGTTATCTTCATGATAGGGTAAAAGATGTTTCGCATTAAAGACATCAGAAATCCGGATATGAGAAGAAGGTGAAGACGGTAGGCGTTAGGATTAATTTTCTCTGTAATTTCCACAAGACCAATGGTACGAGGTGATAACTTCGAATATTCATGGGAAGGTACTCGATCCTTGGTCAACACTGCCCAAACATAATCCCCAACATCAAATTCAACAGGACGCCGATGCTGATCAGCCGCCTCTTTATACTGACGGTTGGACCCCAATAGATTAGCCCGAGTCTCCTCGTAAACCTACTGCAAATTACGAATAAAGTCAACTGCCGTCCCGTGTAAACAAGTCTTAGAAGACAGAGTCAACAAATCAACAGGACTGCGGGCATAATGCTATAACCAACTTGAAACGGACTGAAACCGGTGCTCCTGTTTCAAGCACGATTATAAGCAAACTCCGCCTGACTAAGCCGCTGATCCTAAGAAAGAAAATTATCTCCAACTAGGCATCGCAAAAAATCACCCAAAGAACAATTCACTACCTCTGTCTGTCCATCTGTTTGAGGGTGGTAACCACTACTGAAATTAAGTGACGTGTTAATTGACTTCCATAAACTTCGCCAAAAATGACTGATGAACCTCGTATCTTTGTCAGATACAATAGAAGTGGGCAAACCATGAAGACGATAAACCTCCCTGAAGAGCAGTTGGGAAACCTTGACAGCGTCATGGTACGCTTACAAGGAATGAAGTGTACCATTTTGGAAAATCGATCCACGACCACAAAAATGGAGTCATGACCACGCTGTGTGCACGGTAAACCCAAGACGAAATCCATGCTAATATTAGGCCATGGACCTGAAGGAACTGGTAAGGGACGATAAAGCCCAGCGTTTGTAGCATTTCCTTTTGCCACATGACACACCCTGCACCGCAATACAAACTTTTTCACTTCACAGCGCATAGAAACTCCTCGATCAACTTCAAACGTAGGCTGCAATCTGGTATACACAACTGAACACCCCAAAACACATAATCGTCTTCTAATAAAAAAGGAGGATAAGGTCGTTGCATTAAACGATGGAAAATGGGGCCAAAAGATGAATTATCAGCATAAAGAGAGGTAAAAGTTTCAAACCCCTAACTGCCACCTGTAGACGTGCTAACAATCCATGTCGCCAACTGAACGCATCTACCACACTATTAGACAAACCAGCCTGGTGTTTGATGACAACGTTGAACTGCTGTAAGAAGGCAATCCATGATGCATGACGGGCAGACACCAAATTCTGACTGACAAATGCTTGAGGGCCTCATGATCACTGTATAAAATAAACTCCCGCCAAAATAGATAATGTCGCCAATGGCGTATAGCCTGAACAACTGCATAAAGCTCTACGTCATAAGTGCTATATCGCCCATGAGCCCCTGCTAATTTCTGACTGAAATAAGCCACTGGTTTCCCTTCTTGACTGAGAACAACCCCTATACCCAATTTGGAGGCATCACAATGTAAGGCGAAATGCTTTGTGAAATCAGGCAATACAAGTATCGGGGCTGAAGTCAAGCGCTCCTTAATAACCACAAAAGCCTCTTCAGCCTCGGGAGTCCACTGAAACTTGCTCTCTTTCATGCAATCAGTAATGAGAGACATGATGGTGCTAAAGTGTTGAATAAATCCTCGATAAAAGGACGCCAAACCATGGAAACTCTGCACATCAGAAATTGATTTAGGTTGGGGCCACTGTCGGATCGCATCAATCTTGGTCGATTCCACAGCCACCCTACTGGCTGACACAACATACCCCAAAAATAGTACACTGTAGGTATAGAAAACACACTTGTTACGGGCTGCGAAGAACTGTTCCCTGCGCAAAACGGCAAGGACATCCTTTAAGTGCACACCATGAGACCCCTCAGATCCACTATACACCAATATGTCATCGAAGTATGCGACCACACACTTACCAATAAAAGGGCGAAGGGCTCAGCATGGACTTCCCTTAAGTACACACCATGTGACTCCTCGGATCCTCTATACACCAATATGTCATCGTAGTATACGACTACACACTTACCAATTAAAGGGCGAAGGGCTTGGTTCATCACCTGCATGAACGTGCTTGGTGCATTGGATAAACCGAATGACATAACCAGCCACTCAAATAATCCCTCTCGTGTTTTAAACGCTGTCTTACACTCATCATTAGGGCGAATTTTGATATGATGATACCCACTTTTCAAATCCAGTTTGGTAAATATTGTTGTTCCTGCCAACTAGTCCAGTAAACCATTTAACCGCGGTATCCAAAAACAATATCGAATCGTTATTTTGTTGATAGCTCGGCTATCTACACACATCCGATAACTACCATATTTCTTTGGCACTTGGAACAAATGCTAAACCCAATGGTAAAAAAAATTATCACTTTAATGCACAATTTTCATTAAAAAAAAGTCAAACAGACACCAAATTTTCAACATTTTTCAAGTAGAAAATTATACAAATCAAACACAAATAATTACAATTCTCAGTAAAATATTTTCTAGACAATTCAATTCCTTATAAAATGTTTTCTTTCCACTTTTTTTTTCACCTTTGCAATTAAACGGACCCTAATTGGTTATTGGTAAAATTAACCCCAAATATTAGGGACTATTTTTCTCCTCTTAAAACACTGAGGAGCAATAGTACTATTTCCCTTTGTATTATCTTTATATTTTGCTCGCTCACACATTTCCACGCTCCGCTGCATTCTGGACTTCTTTTTCTTTGCCTTTGGACCAAAAAACTTGCCATTACCATCTCTATAAAGTAATTACTTTTCCATTCTCTCTCTCTCCTTTCATCTTTTTGCTAGCTCACTTTTCCAACTCCACTTGATTTTTGCCGCTTGAAAAGCTTTTCATTTGACAATCTGGTACCCATTTGTTCGTTTCTTTTTTTGCTTTTTTATGTGGGGTTTTGTTATATTTTCTTACAATAATTACGCTTACTTAACACAGACGCACCGACACAAATTCAACCACATTCAACCCTTGCCGTTAGTGTCACCGTTTCATTTTCTCGGCTTCATCTCCTTCAGACCCCCAGCCCACGCTGCCCACCCCCACCCCCCATTTTGCTTTCTTTACTTTTTATTAACTTTTGATGCAAAAGGTGGGTTGTGTGAAGTGTAATAAAGTAAATGCTGGTTGTTTTTCTTGTTGTGTGGTTCATCTATTAGTGATTTGTGAGCTTTTATCGAGCCTTTATGGGATTTTCTTAAAGTTGCAGTCTTTCTTTCATTTCTGCAGTCATTTTATGATTTTGTGAAAGATTTCTGATCTGGGTTTTTTTCAGGTTGATTCTACAAGACTCAGTGAAAAATCTTGGAGACATTTTTTCCCTAACATTTTTTTAGAGAGAAAAAAGGTAAATTAATGGCAGGCGGTGGAGCTCCGAAGGCAGAAGAGCCAGCGCCACATCCACCAAAGGATCAGCTTTCAAATGTTTCCTACTGCATTACCAGTCCTCCTCCATGGCGTCAGTCTCTCGTCCTTTTGTTAATGTTTCTTCGTAATGTAGTATATTCTTTTTGTCAATCTTTTTGTGTTTTAGTATAAAGTGGTTGTGGATTCCTTGAACCATGTTGTTCTTGATTCC